ATGACGTATTTAAAAATCAATTTATCTGTGCCTGTAGTGTTTTGTTTATTAAATGATTACTCCTCATATGTCACAGTCATTAGCATATGGCACAAAAAAAAACCTTTACAACTTCAAGAAGCCGCACTCAAATTATGAATTTTTTTGGTTCGTTCATCATCTTATCCCTCGTAGAATCAATACTAAGTATAATATATGYATACATATATTACTCCGACGAATGGCTAGTGTCCGAAGTGTCATATTTTCACGGTGTATAATTTACCTTTTTATCATTACTGTTTCATTAGAAACACCGACGCAGCTCACACTAGTTTTTAGCTAGTTATCTCTTTTTATATGTATATAGCAAGGACGATAGGCACTTTATTTATTTATTTATCTATTTAGCTTTGCCATTCAATCACTCACACATGAACACACTCACACATACACACACACACAAAGATAATTACATACATACATACATACATAATGGCTGGGAATCCACTACAGCATGTGCCAATATTTTTATTTTATTACAGTGGTCCCTCACATATTAACATTAATTTTAAAAAGGTTGGTTTGAAACAAAGTTATTTTGTAATATAAAGTTATTTTGTTACTTTAATAAATGTTGATTAGACTACCCTCTAAATTTATAGGTTGTATGGACTCCGCTTGGCTTTAAAAATATTTATTTCATTATTGTAACACTTCTCTTGAAAATCATCTCATGATGAAATAGATTTTATCTAAAAAAGTTGTTAACCCAGAAAAAGGATTCTGGTTTATTAGAAAGTGAGTGACTGATCAGAACCATACCAAAAAAGAACATGAGAGTAAAGGCTCTTAAAAAAGAYACATTCAGCACTTTGATAATTCTGTTTAAGAATCTATTACAAGGACAGTGAAGAGGATGGAAAGGAATTTTCAAGTCTCTGGTTCCCAAAAACCATTTAGTGTCATACACCTATTTCAAACAATGTTGTTGGATCAAGATCTGAAATGAGSGATCTGAGACTAAACARAATTTTTGTGCTKTTATGTATTTTGACAAATATACTGAAAAGCACAATTCTAGCTCAAACGTCATGCTTCACATTCCAAACTAAGAGAAAACCATGTTGTTTTGCTGTGAGCACATTACAATTTGCAGCATGCAAGTCAGTCTCAGATTTTGGATTTCAGATCTCTGTCTGACATGTTTTTTGAAATAGTTGTACCTATATATTTTCAAATCTAAGCCACCCTACTTTACAGGGTATTACACAGTCCTTGTATTATCCCTACTGCACTSATTATCCTTCCTTTAGGCTACACTACTAGCAATTATTCCAAGTTGGGCTTATAGTCTAAAGTAATTACGAGACTATGCATAAGAGTTAATACACACGAGGGAACATGCAAYAGAGATATTAAAGCTCCACTTGTGTGACATTTTGCTTCTAATGACAATCTTGTTGCAAGGAAAAGCTTYTGTCCCAGCCACAAGACCCCCTTTCAGCATGTATTTAAAGTGGTTTGAATAGCCCACTTCTGATATATTTTTGGCTTGTCATGCAGAAAGGATTCAATGTGATGCTTCAGGCATAATCCTCAGTGATTTGTGACAGGAAAAAAGAAGAAATTTGATTTAGCATGTAGCCACGTACTGAAACCTTTGTATGTGACAAGCGAGGCATATCTCGGAAATGGGCTATTCATAGGCCATTCAGATGTATGAGCAACCCAGATTTCCAGTACCATGGCACATTGTTCTTTGGAAACTCTCCCAATTTGTCAATCAATCTAAAGCTGATCTTTTCCTTTTCCTATGATTAATAACAGTATCAGATGTTGTTAACTTAGCCATCTGTCCTGCTTCCCACAGGAGAAAGTCCCTGACTCCTTTTCTTCCAGCTTCAAATATTTGTTTCTCAGTGTGATCCAGTTTGCTGGTCAGTAATGACGTGTCTTCATGTGGAGCATTCTGAGAGGAATCCATCAGTTTTCTAAACCTCTTGGTGAATGCCTAAACAAAATATTTAATGTCGTATTAGTGAAATCCATCCTTTCCCATAGGAATACAAGACATATTACAGGGCTAAACACAAGATAAAAATAAAAAGCTTTTTGCAACTTTTCTTGATCAGGTCTCTTAAATATTGATTGGCAGGTTAAACGAGGGAGGATGGATAATGAGGTATGATTTGGCGCTGCGTTCTTTACCTCTTGTAGTGTTTTAACGATTTGTGCATTTTCTTCGTCGTCAAAGTGCATCAGTTTAGTACCAATACCATAAAAATACGGCCCTAGTTTGTGTAAATCTACTACATTAGCATCAGCTCGTAGAATCTCTCGATAACCTTCTCTATAAACCTTGGGTAGATCCACAGAAACAACCCTTCTTCTCCTGCTACAAAGTTCCTTCGCCAGCCAGTAAGATAGGTCCAGTTTTGCACCTGCAGCAAGGTGTTGGTTCTCTGAGCTTGGGTTTAAGAATCCTAGATTGAAAATCTGTACTTCGAGTTTACAAGGAATCTTGTCTTGTGTTGCTAGAACATCATCAATGTCAAAATAATCGTAACTGCTTGGTCGCGATCGCAATGGTGGCCCAGTCAATGAGTCACTWGATGCCATCACTAAGCTTATTTCACCTTATTATGATCTGTAGTGTTTTAGAATAATTAAATTTAAAGAAAATGAGAGTTAGAATTGATAAAAATTGTGTACATTGTGTTCGAATTTTTGCGCGCTCGATTATTACCCAAGATTCCTAGAGATAAATTCTATTCAAAAGCACACAGGTAGCCCACTGTTAAGGCCGGTGTACCAATAATTCAATAAATATATCACAGGTTAACTGGTTTATATATGAATGGTTTTAGATGATAAGTTGGGCTAAGGATACAGCCATTTTTGTCTAATTTTCTATCTTTAAAAAAATATAAGTTCATCCGGAAATACGTCATAAGAATGGTTGTATTACCCATAATGCATCAAAAGCCGCAGTATCATTACCCACAATCCACGTCGAGTCGTCCTCTTCTTCCACATCATTGTTCCAGAGTTCTTTAGTTTTGTGAAKAGAGCCGGTCAAAATGAGTGGAATTACCAACCTCAAAGACATCATTGTCCGATTTTACGATGAATACACACAGACGACACCCCAAAGACTAAAGATTGTAGATGCTTACTTGCTTTACATCATGCTTACTGGGATTATTCAGTTCGCGTACTGTTGTCTTGTTGGCACGTTCCCTTTCAACTCCTTTCTTTCTGGCTTCATTTCGTCTGTAGGATCTTTCGTCTTGGCCGGTAAGAACTGCACTTTCTTGACTCTTTATTCCAACTAGCTGGAGTGTTTACGCTGGCTTTTATTTTACACACATCAAACTATAGCGATATCTTTCCGTGGAAACTGTGAGAAAAATTCAAATATGATTCACGTGTCTCAAAAATCAGAATCAAATAGTCTGAGAATTTGACACGTAGGACCCTAAGAAAATTCGGAAAAAGTTGGATAAAATCTTAATTAACTATTATATTCACACTACTTATTCATATAATTTAGGCTTTTTTTGCATGACTTGGTTGTTATGATAATATTATCATAATAAACGAATTTGAATGCTTTGTTGGACATTCACCACTTAATTACAGCACAGAATTACTCGTGCCAGGCCTTCCGGGCCTGTGGCACGAGTCAAAAAATGCAACGAGTTTCGTYGACTTTCGGTGTCAAACATTTTTAACCCTACGGGGACTCCCACAGGCTTACTGAGTGCCTTTTATCCCTTCATTTTTCAACCCTACTGGGACCCCTACAGGCTTACCTTGTACCTATTCACCCCTCATATGRGGTGTTCAGATTCATGGTGRGTTGTATTTGAGTGACAAGAAGGTCTCAGAGTATAAGATCGTCACCCCTTCCATTCGTGAGGAATCTGTCCTAGTAGCAAAAAGCGAACAGTTTTCAATGAACTTCATGGGCAATAGCTTGAATTGGTCTTAAACTATTCATGATTCATCTACTGGAGCAGTATTTTCTGCATGAACAAGCTAAGATCCAAGGAGAACAGGGTGTCAAGTGTCAGAATTATAATAAGCGATAGTAAACAAATGCATTCAGCGTGACTAGTTATTCTCTTGAACTTGACAATATAGATATTCTTATAGCCTATATTTATGTGTATTTATATTAACTGTTTTGACTTCAAAGTCTACTCACAAAGGAACATGAGGTACATATCCAATATTTATTTTAAGATTCTATTTGATTTAAGAAGCAAAATAAATAATTTGCTACACACATTCCAGGGTTTGATCTTTGCCGTTCAAAGCATTATAATCTCCTTTAATTTTCCTTCAAAAAGTGGTGATTCACTAAAACAATATCGGCTGTTGAGAACCCCCATATTCACTTCACAATACTTAAYGTCACTCCCAGAAATCATGCTAACAAGGCACGAGTTCACCCTGCAGGGTCTAGTTACTTTATGAGAGTCTTCATAATCAGGGTACTAGTAGTTAGGAGTGCTCTGCTTATTACAGCTTTCTTTTACCAAACGCTGAAGAACAAGTGAAGGATAGTTGGCAACACTTGCATCATTTTTACTTGTGTTTTCAAATCACTCAGTTACAATACCATGCAGGGCTTAAAATAATTTCCAGTTAATGGAACTTGTCTGGCCAAATCTTGGTGTGGCCAGTCATTTTGACCTATAACATTGAGCCAAAGATGAAGTATGACTAATTTGACTGGTCATCATGACTGGAGATTTTATGTCCTGCCTAGTGCAAATGGACAGATAGTGTTGGCAAATCCATCCCCTTTTTCTGGATCAAGAAAAATATATTTCATTTGTCTATTAGTCACCCCAGGTATCGTAATGTCTCACATTGATTGGTCTAGATGTGACTCATGCTGGCAATGCAATTTTTTAGATTTTGTTAGGATCAATTGCAATTACATTGTACCCTGTGTGCCATCAGAACAAAACCCCTGTCAGGCCCACCTGCAAATTAAATCTTGGAAACTTACAACAGCTTATAGCACAGTTTGGTTTTAGCTTCACGTATGAAAGAAAAAAATTATATTTTGTTGCAAGCACAAGAAAAAATTGTGTATAAGGTGCTTTTCATTGTTTCTGTATATCAATTTTTGGATCATTCCAATATGACTTAAAATTAGTTCCATTTTGTTGCAGTGTGCCTTCGAGTCCAGAGCAATCCAGCCAATTTTTCAGAATTCAAGGGCATATCACCTGAAAGAGCTTTTGGAGACTTCATCTTTGCAAGTGTCATTCTTCATCTTGTAGTGATGAACTTCATTGGTTGAAGAGACAGAAAGCAAGACACAAGACTCTGTGTGAATACAAAAATATAAAGAGCAATTTTATGAATTTTAGAAATAATTCTTCCACCACACCTCATTTTCAAGTAAAATCAATACTGTAAAAAGATAATAAAGAAAGTTTTCTTTATCTTCAGTGTTTGTTTTCTAATAATGCATTACTAAGCGTGGAAAGGGCTTGTCCTTCCCTGCGCCCCCTACCCTGGTCCCAGAGGTTGCTCATAGTTTTTTTATCTATGTAAAATTGAAAAAAAACTACGAGAAACCTCTGGGACCAGGGTACCCACCCCSACCCTTTGAGCCTGTTCATATAGGCTATGCCTTACTTGTTTTCATGGCTATTTTTGTGATGTGTACCTAGTGGTAGTACACTCATCTCCTGTCTTGGATCTTTGGTTTAATTATTGAATCTTGCATACATATATATTATAAACTGTTAGGTTTTTCTGACCCTTCATTTAAGACTTTGAAGGATTTTTCTCCAAGCTTTCCATTTACCTCCCTAACAACACCTAAATATAGTTCTTTAGTTATCATTTTCTAAAGATTATTGAGTTCTAAAAGCTTTTGACAATGAGGTAGTCAGTTATAACTTGGTCTTATTCTTGGGGGCATGTCATTATGTCATGCATATCTGTCATGTTGGTTGATAATTTAAGAAGCATTCCTCATTGACTCCTTGTCAGATCAACGGCTGTGTAATTGTTATTTATTTCTCAAGGAATTTTGAGTCAAGCGCTTGCACCCCAAGAGTTTGMGCAGTTTTGTTAGTTACAATAAAAACTACCATAGCCTGCAAAGCAGGCATTCTTGTGGGTTTGAGGAAGAAAAGGGGTTTTGAGGGAACTTTGGAACGAGAGAGAATTGAAACCGAGATAAAWAGGAACCCCAAAACCCCGATTCTTCCTCTAAAACCCATCAAAAGAACGCCTGCTCTKCAGGCTAAAATTATCATAGAAAATAGTATTCGGGCTTCCTGTGTAGGTCACAGGACTCCCATAAAATTTGCGCACTCGTGCAAATAACCAATCTTTCGAAGTCCAAAGTCGACAATTTTGAATAGTTCGGAGTTAGGTACTTCAGGGATAATTYGTTCTTAGAAAGGTAAGAAACACAGGTATTTCTAACACATTTTGCAAATTTAGAGAAACATGCATTATTTAAACAATATCTGCAGTTATAGAGAAGTTTTCAGAATGAAAACAGCTAATGATGAACGTAGCCTGCTTATGCAAAGCTTCTTTGCTGGTAATTATTGCTCAAGTCAAATAAATAAGATCAAAAAAGGCTATTCAAAACTATGAGGCTGCCCTTGCTCAATGGAAAAAGCCCAAATCATTCATATACTGAAGCTACATTCACTGTGTCGGAGAAAAAATATRGGCCGTTAAGCAAAAAACTTTTTAATTATACATTAGTTTACGTAAGAGACAGCACGCGAGGGAGAAGCAATCGATTGATTGACTGTACTCTTTTTTTTATGTGTTCTTAGAATGGCTTCTGATCTTCCTTCTTTGGTTGGACGTGTTTGTCTTGTTACTGGTGCATCTCGTGGTATTGGTAGAGGCATTGCTTTGATGCTAGCCAAGGCTGGTGCCACTGTTTACATAACTGGTATGTATACGTCTTTTGGACTATAAAACCCATGCCATCATTGGGTTGGGGGGGGGGGGGGGGGGG